TATATATTTATTAAAATAAAAATATAATATCTTATATTATTATAATATAATTGATTATTTTATTATAATATTAAAAATATAATATTATATTATTAGAAATATTAATAAATATATTTTAAATATGTTAATAATTAATATTTTGATGAAAATGATATTAAAATATTTTATTAATATTAAATTCATAAAATAAAATTATTTTGAGTATTTATTCTTTGAAGTGAAAAGTTCGAAAAATGACTTACGGGAAAATCAGACCGTAAGTCATTTTTCAGAAAACGTAAAGGAAATTCTGTTGACCAGGAAAATGAATTACGTTGACCAACCAGTTTTCCTCCAACCAAACACTGGAAAATGTTTTCTGGAAAACGAATTACGTGAAACAAACACGTGAAAACATTTTCTAGAAAACGAATTACATGAAACAAACACGAAATTTTGAGAAAACCAATTCAATTCCGTAATTCATTTTACGTAAAACAAACATACCCTAATAAGAAAACATGTATTTACTCTACACGGTACCTTGTGTTAGGAAATATAATTTTTAATTAAATTAAATTAAATAAGAAGGCGTAGATAACGAAACATGTCTTTCTAAAAAACAATTAAATTTAATTAATTTTTTATAAATTTATATTATTTTAATTAATTTCATTTTTACAATTAATATTCATTCTTTTTATGATTTAATAAACTCTTTTATTTCATAATATTAATTCATTTGAATAATTAGTGTTTACATAATTAGTATTTAAATAATTGATATTTAAATAATTTATAGTAAATAATTGATCATAAAATAATTCTTGTCAATGTGTATTTAAATTTATGTTTTGATAAATACTTAAAACAATTATATTATTTGAATAAAAATACAGTTTTTTTTACATTAGAATTATTGATATTTACAATAAAAATGAAAAAATATATCACATTATTAAAAAATAATCTCTCTGTGATTCACTTTTATAAAACGATTGACACTAATTACATGTTAGAATTTTTAATGTTAGATGATCATTAAGATGATTAATAATATTCTCGTCGTCACTCTAATTGACTAAGTATATTAATTTATTAATGTGTTTAAATCGTATGGTGATGGATGATGACCTGTGAAGAATAGCTACTGTATAAGCATTCAACAATATCATTTAAATAATACGATGTGACATAAATGATAATTAATATTGTATAATATATTCGAAATCTTTAGATAGAGTAAAATTGAAATGTTCTTTGGTTTTTATTTTTTTTATAAGAAAAAGTTTATGTCGGGTGGCTCCTCCAATTCAGGGTCAATGCATACCTAAGACTCGATTGGGATGTTCTTTGATTTTTATATTATTATATAATATACACTAATATTTATATGATAATTAATAATTTTTATAATGATGCCAATAATCTTTGGAATATGCGGTTAAAACTAAAAAGTTATCAATTGACACTCTCATTCCCTTTAGATTGTGGGTTTAATACCCATTAGGAGAAAAATTTCCTCTCCCCTAATAGGAATTGTTCAATAAATAAATAAACAATTTTATAACGGTTATATTAATAGGCTAATGATTTAAAATTGAAACATTTAAAATTTATTTTAAAATATAAGTTCTAACATTTAGAGAATGTATTATATTTTTTGAATAGTTTAAGGTAATTTTAAGGTAGTATATGTGTAAGATTTTTTTAATCATCGACAATGAGGATGGACCAAGGGAGTGCGCTCTAATCCCCTAAAAAAATTTAAATTCCCTTATACTTTAAGTATTTTTGTATTTTTTGGTTATTTAGTTTTACACCCCTAAAATTTTATTACTTCACCCCCTTAAACATTTTGATATAACTTCTTAAGTTTGTACCATTTAATATAGATTCATGTGTTCGTTTCTAAAACGTAACTACTCAAATTCAAGAATTAAAAAAATAACATTCCCTTTTGATATATATAAATAACTAAGAATATATTGGAAAAGTCACAACCTAACAGCAACGCGAAGCAAATATCCATGAAGGCAGTGTAATTTGATATTGAAACATCCTCTGGGTTCAATATGTTTCCGCATGTAATTTTCTTAAATTAAAATTATTAATAAATATAACGTACATAAAAATTATCATTTCAAACTCGGATCAAATAATTTCGGTAGTTAAATGAATAATTGTTGTTGTTTTTTTATAAAAAAATCGTGTTTTGATATGCTGTCTGCAGGGTGTTTAGAGATAGACTTATAGGGGACTGGTAGGATCGGTCCCAAATTTTTTTAAATTCTTATATATTTTAGATATTTTCTTTGTATTTTTTGTTGAAAATCTATTTCACCCTCTAAAATTTTAAAGTTCGTTTCCCCCTTTAAATTTTATATGTTTGTTCACTCTAACATAAAATCATACATCCGTCCCCAGCGATATTTGAACATTCATCGTCAAATAATTAAAAATCTTTCAAATAAATATTATCATATAATCATCTTATACTAATAAAAATATAACTCCAATATTGATTAATTCATAATCTTTTTTTTCATGTTATTTTATAAAGAAATACATATTTTTCACAGAAATAAAAAAAGTACATATTAAAATAATTATAAATTTATCATAAAAATTAATTAGCAGACAAACAAATTGAAATAATTCTGAACTTAGAATATGGAAGACATTACTAATAATATTCTTATCCAAACCTTGGACGAATGATGACCGCACGCACGAAACAAAAGCTGATTATTCAACATCCATTGTTAGATTTTATTATTAAATTAATTCAGACATTAGACAAAATGTTGTTTTTTGTCTATGTTTTGCGCAAATGGCCGCAAAAAGGTTATGTAAAAGCCGTCACCATGCAATTGTGGTCTGTTGTTGAATGCATCATCGTCAACAAAACATTGATTGCATGCAAATCTTTGTGGTGGAATTCGAAAACTTGTAGCCACCCCTCTCAATAACTTTCTTTTTTTTAAAAGAAAATCTATAAACTGTTTTTTTAGGTGAATACAGTGTAAGATTTTTTAAATTAGTTTAATTGGTGCATTTTTTTCAATATATATATTTTTAATAAATTTTAAATATAATCTTAATTTTACCTAGACGAGAGGGGAAGTAAAGACTCTAGGAAAAAGAAAAGAAGTGCTCTTAGTAATCTAGAATCTATGACATATGACAATATAAGAGAATAAAAATATGTAACTTGACTAACCGATCAAATGTGTTTGTTCTCTATCAGTAAGTTTTAACACACACTCTTTCAAAAAAAAAAGTTTTAATACACACATAGGGTTAGGATCAAATTACATAGTGTAAAACTAAAAAAGTTTTATATCTTTTTAAGATCGTTGGATGAGGAGGAATCAAAACCTGAAATTAACAGTAGAAAATAAGAATATATTCATGGGAAAAAACAAAAAAATAATCTCAATTTTTAATTTTCTCTCGTTTAATGATCAAGGTGTAAGTGAATCCTTTTATATATATAATATTTTAACCTACTGAAATCATCTATGAAGGGACTTGTTAAAGATTAATAGTCATTGACAAGGATCTTGATAGGACTATTAATGAATCTGGGAGATTTATCAGGATCAAGTCTATTAATTCACAATTGCATTTACACATTTCATTGACTTGTACATAATAATTTTGACCCTAGACTTGATACATGCACACAAAATGTATCGATATATAAACCCCACCGATAGACAACAGAAAGGACTCTCTCATTCTTGAGCTACTTCTTCTACTTTGAGATAATTCTATATAACTTTTCTACCATGTTAGTACCAATAATACTATCATTCGATTATTATTCGATCATGAACTACGACTTTTCATTTAAATTAGAAAAGATAAAATGACCACAGTTGACATAATTTGTTCAGTCAATAATATTTTCTATTTGAAAAAAAGAGGTAGAATTTTTATTTGCAACATTAAAGGTTTTATATCTATAAAAAGAAGATTTGACATTTGAATAATGTAGCTGTCTATATGAAACATGCAAATGAACATTCGCCGATTGCTTTAATTCTACAACAATAACCGGCCGCTATCAGCTTCTGGTGGTATCAAATACCACTACGCCTTTTACATTAAATAAATCAAATAAATAAACCGTGTGGACTGCATTACTTTCGCAGTCTTCTTACTTTAATTTTGAGTAAATTGCACACTTTTGTCACTCAACTATCAAATGTTTTTATTTTAATTATTTAAATTTAAAATTTAGAAAATGATCACAACAATTATATTCTATTCCCATTTTATCATATATTATCACTTAAGTTAGTGGCATATGTTCATATACTGTGCAACATATATCACAGTCTCATTGTTGAATGGAAATAAAACTCGAGCGTTGGAGATTCAGATCCTTAACAAAAATCCTTACCACATCAAATTATTTTGTGAATTTGCATCATTTTTTTAAAATTTCACAATACTTATATTTTAAGATGAAATTTATGCTTAAATAGAATTGAAAGTTTAATGTTAAGTCAAATATTAAGTTAGGCTTTCATGTATGTTTAGTTTTTTTTAATAGTCTGAGTTGATTATAAGATGATAATTATTTAAAATTTTTCTTTATTATTGATAACGCACATACACTTTATATATGCAATAACTCGAACTCATAACTTCTAGAGAGAACAACGCTCTCTTTTACCACTAAGATCACTCAACGAGTCTACAAATAATTCAAGTTGACATAATGATTAAGAGCAATAATGTATTGAGATGTATCACTAACATAATTTAACATGAGTAATCAAAATAAAATGAAAAACAACTTTTGTGGTCATTTAGAAGTAGTTTTAAATTTGTGGGCCAAAATAAATATTTTGGATAGTTGGATGATCAACTAAAGCAATTTACGCTTTAGTATTTTTGTCTTTAAACTCATCCTCAGTTCCTCGAGGCTTCCTGGCCATATCAATTCTCTATATATATACGCCCCCTCTTGGAATCAAAATCATAATTCTTTCTTCTTTGATATCAGTTTCTACGTATTCTGTGCTTTGTATTGCTGGAAAAAAAAAGGAATGAGGAGCATCTTCATGAAATCTCCATCTCCTACAAGGACCACTCCTTCTGGATCTCCACTTCACCATACTTTCACCGACTCACTCATGGAAGAAAACATCGAAGCTGCTGAAACCATCATCACTAAATGGGACTCCTTGTATGGCGACAATGATGCTCCCTACTGTAACATTGCTTCTCTTTTCTCTGAAAGTAACCGGGAAGAAGAAGCCAAACAGTATTTGAGTTCCATCAAGGGTTTGCAGAAAGCTATGCATTACTTGGCTTCACACCAATCCGATTCCGATCAACTCGTTCGAGCTCAAACGCTTATGCAAACCGCCATGAAACGCCTCGAGAGGGAGTTTCAGCAGATTTTGAAGTCCAGCAGGAATTACCTTGACCCTGAATCTGTCTCCACTCACTCCTCTTCTTCTAGACCGTCGGTTTCCAGGTCGAGCTTTTCAGATTTTGATGAAGATGATGATTCTGAGAACGAGACTGAGTCGATCCCCGAAGTGGAGCGAGTCTCGGCGGTTGCCATGGCGGATTTAAGAGCTATTGCGGAAGCCATGATTTCGGCTGGGTACGCTAAGGAGTGTTTCAAAATTTACAAAACTATTCGGAAATCGGTCGTTGATGAAGCTCTGTACAATCTCGGAGTTGAAAGGGCGTTGAGTTTTCAGCAGATTCAGAAGATGGAGTGGGAAGCTTTGGAGGCTAAGATTAAGAATTGGTTGAACGCTGTTAGGCCGTCGGTTAAAACGGTGTTTTATGGAGAGAGAATACTCTGTGATCAAGTTTTCGCGGTTTCGCCTGCCATCACGGAATCTTGTTTCACGTATATTCTAAGCGAAGGAGCTCTGGCTCTCTTTGGTTTCCCGGGAAATGTCGCCAAATGCAAGAGAACTCCCGAGAAAATGTTCCGTATCTTGGATTTATATGAGGCGGTTTCCGATCTTTGGTCCGAGATTGAATCAATCTTCAGCTTTGAATCAACGTCGATCGTCCGATCAGCCGCCGTTAACTCCTTGGTCAGGCTCGGCGATGCCGTTAGAACGATGTTAACGGACTTCGAAACCGCAATCCAAAAATATTCAACCAAAACCATGGTTCCCGGCGGCGGGATCCACCCTCTGACACGTTATGTAATGAACTACATCTCTTTCCTCGCCGACTACAGCGGAGTTCTCTCCGACATCGTCTTCGATTGGCCGTTATCGGTTCAATCACCGTTACCGGAGTCTTACTTCGTCAGCCCCGACAAGGACGAGAACATTTCGTCGCCGATTTCAGTCCGGTTAGCTTGGCTTATCCTCGTCATGCTATGTAAACTAGACGGTAAAGCCGAGATGTACAAAGATGTAGCGCTTTCTTATCTGTTCTTAGCTAATAATCTTCAGTACGTCATCAACAAAGTCCGGCGATCGAACCTGAAACTCCTCCTCGGCGACGATTGGGTGACGACGCACGAACAGAAAGTGAGAAAGTACGCTTCGAATTACGAGAGGATGGGATGGAGCAAAGTGATCGCCTCGCTGCCGGGAAATCCGACGGAGGAGATTCCAACCGACCAAGTGATCGATCATTTCAGAAAATTTAACTCGGCTTTCGAAGAAGCTTACAAGAAGCAGAGTTCTTGGATCGTAGCCGACCCGAAACTCCGAGATGATATAAAGATCTCGTTTGCTAGACGGATCGGTCCGGTCTATAAGGATTTTTTCGATAACTACGGTGGAGTTCAGCTGATGAATGAAATGTCGATTGTCAAATATACCCCTGATGAATTGGGGAATTACTGCTCTGATTTGTTCTTCGGGAGCGGAGGTTCAGGGAGTGTTTCGTCAAATTCGAGCCTAGGTGGCCGCAGTCTTTGATCTTGGACCGTTGAACTTGGCCACGTGCGGAATATAGACCCTTTTTGTGAAAAAGGAAATGTGGATAGCTATTAAAAAGACGTGCAGTGAGCTAATTAATTTAATCCACTATATGGCATGTAATCACATGTAGAATGCAGAATTCATTGATTTATTGTCTCATTTGTACTCTCAACTTTTTGTTTGTATTATTATACTCAATTCATGCTTTCAGATAACAATACTAACTAAAAAAATATAATTTATTCAAATTAATATTATTTTAATAAATTTAGTCAGTTTTTTAAAGGGTAGGAATGGTTGAAGATTATATATTGTTAATATAATCGTTAATGAATTTGTTATTTTTTCTTTACCAAAATTATATGATTTCTGTTGGTGAAGGACTCTAAATTTAATCATCTAATCAGATTGTGACATGTGTCAAAATATAAATAGAAGATATTTTTAATTTAATTATTTAATTTTTCATCAAATTAAATGGTGACATATAATGCGTGACCCACTAAGCTAGATGTTATATGATGACATAGATAAATGGATGATGATCGAAATACTATAACAAGTATGCTATGCCAAAGAAAATACTTTTCCACAGCTCTAAGGGGTACTGCCTATTAGCTAATAAACCTTTCCAATACTACCATCATACTTAGTTTCTTAGTCTAAGTCTTCATGATGTTTGATGCAAACAAGATCCATTTAAATGACAGGTTTGCAGGCATACACCAAGTTAGATATTGTAATAAATGACATAATAAAAATAGAGTTAAAAAGTATTAATTTTAATATTTTTTTTAATAATCTCATGCATATATTTTGAACTCAATTTATTTTTATTAATAAATATATGAAATTATTTGATAGAGTTAACAATAATTTATATATATAATCATTAAATTAAATTTTTTGATTTAAGTAATAATTTATTTTTACTAATAATTATATATATATAAATTTATTTATTTTTATTAGAAAATGAATGAAATTATTTTTTAAAATTATTTAATAAATTTAACAATAATTTATGTATATAATCATCAAATTAGAACTTTTAACTTGAAGTAATAATTTTAAAATTTTTATTAATAAATTCATATATATATTTTAACTCGAAATTGTTGAAATGTAATATAAGAAAATGGAAAAAATATTTTTCATATCCACACTTCACATAAACTTACAATATGTTCACATATATATACAAACATCCAATCTAACCACCCAACTAACTCAAAATTAGCTAACCCTATTCCCATATATAATGGGGTAAGGGGGAGGCAGGGTAGTAGGCTGCCCCCAACGTTAGGTTGAGAGCAGCTTCCGTGGAAGACCTCCGTTATGAATTGCCCTCAGTGGGACTCGATCCCACGACCACAAGGTTAAGAGCCTTGCACTCTAATAACTAACTCAAAATTGTTTCTAACTAATTAGTAACAGAAAACTAATTACAAACTCAACACTCCCCCTCAAGTTGGATGTTGAAAAACATTTTCAACTCCTAACTTGGATAGCATATAACTATGTCGCTGACTTCCCAAAGCCTTTGTCATGATGTCTGTAAGTTGTTCATGTGTTGAAACATGTTTTGTTTGAATCATCCCTTCCTGTATTTTTTCTCTCACAAAATGACAGTCGATTTCAATATGCTTTTTCCTTTCATGATACACAGGATTAGCAGCTATTTGAAGTGCAGCTCTGTTGTCACAATAAAGTTTTACAGGTTTCAGGCCTTTTATTCTAAACTCTGCAAGTAAGCTTTGTAACCATTCCATCTCAGAAGTAACTACTGACATAGCTCTATACTCTGCTTCTGCTGAAGATCTTGCTACAACATTTTGTTTCTTTGATTTCCATGAAATCATTGAGTCAACAATCTTAATGCTAAATCCTGTCACAGATTTTCTTATCATTGGGCATGATCCCCAATCTGAATCACAATAAGATAAAATTTGACAGCCTGAAGAGAATTTTCACAAGACTCTCTGTCCTGGTTTATTTCTTAACATGTTTAACTACTCTTAAGGCTGCCTCAATATGTGATCTCTTAGGTTGCTGCATGAATTGACTAAGAAAATTCACTGCATGTGTAATATCAGGCCTTGTATATGTCAAATAAATCAACCTCCCAATAAGTCTTTGATAAAATGACTTCTCAACTAGATTATATTCATCTTCATTATCTTACTGCACAATTTTATCATAATTCAAAGTAGTCAACTTCAGATTTTGTTCTAATGGAGTAGCAGCAGACTTGGCTTCCTCCAAACCAATATCTTTGATTAACTGAAGTGCATACTTCTTTTGATTCAAAAGTATGCCTTCCTTTGACCTCAATACCTCAATTCACAAGAAATACTTTAGCTCACCCAAATCCTTAATCTTAAAATGGCTATTCAATATTTTCTTTAATTCAATAATCAATTCATTACTATCACCTGTGATTACCAAATTATCAACATAGACTAATAACAAGGCATTTTACCTTGTTGCCTCTTGATGAACAAGGAGTAGTCATATTTGCTCTGAACATAGCCAATTGAAACCAATGCTTCTATTAGTTTCAGATTCCACTTCCTGGAGGCTTGCTTAAGATCATACAATGATTTTTGCAGTCTACACACAATCCTCTCCCCCTGACTGCAAAAACCCTCAGGTAGCTGCATATAGACTTCCTCATAAAGATCTCCTTGCAAAAAAGCATTGAATACATCCATTTGCAACAATGTCCAATTGAAGATAGAAGCAATGGCTAAAATGGTTCGAATGGTAACTATTTTGACCACATGAGAAAATGTATTAACAAAATTAATCCCCTCATGTTGATTACAACCTTTAGCAACCAAGTGAGCTTTATATCTCTCAACCTCACCTCATGTTTTCCCACTTACATCCAATAGGAACTTTTCCTGGTGGTAATGGAACAAGGGACCAAATTCTATTAGATTCCAATGCATGAATTTCCTCTTTCATTGCTTGAACCCAAAGTGGATTTTAAACAGCCTCAGAATGAGATTGAGGCTCAGAAATTTGAAAAAAATGAAAGATAAGAACACTTGAGTATGAATTGGTAAGTGAGAAAAAGAAAGAGAACTGAAATTTGAAGAAGAATATTGATAATAACATACAAAATTATTTAACCAAAAAGAAGGCTTAGATACTCTAGAGGACTTCCTAAAAGGGGCAGGTGCATTTATTGAAGCAGAAGACTGAACTGGAACTTGAGAAGTATGTTCAGCATCAACAGTAACCAACTCAGTAGGATCATTACGAAGTGAACCAGAATTTTGAGGACTTAGAGTGTTTAAGACCAAGAAATCATCATCAGGAACAAAATTAGTAGATGGGAAAAAACAGAATCAGAATTATAAAGGGAAGAAGATTGATGAAAAGGAAATTGATTTTCATGAAACTTAACATCCCTACTAATGAATAATTTTTTAGAATCAAGATTAAACAATAAGTAACCCTTTTGGGTTGGAGAGTATCCCAAAAAAACGGAAGCAAAGGCACGAGCATCAAATTTATCATGAGGATTAAGATTTATTGCAAAACATAAGCATCTAAACACTCTAAAATGGTCATAAGAAGGAGGTTTATGATATAATAGTTCAAAAGGGGTTTTCCAAGACAAGACTGAATAGGGCAACCTATTAATTATATAATATGCAACTAACACACATTCTCCTTAAAATTTAAAAGGAACTCGAGACTGAAAATGAAGAGCCCGAGCAACTTCTAAAAGATGCTTATGCTTACGTTCTGCAGCCCTATTCTGTTGAGGAGTTCGAACACAAGAACTTTGATGAATAATTCCCAAAGATTCAAACAAGGGAGAACATTCAGAGTTAAAAAAATTCACGACCATTATCACTACGAACAACTTTAATTGAGACAGAAAATTGATTTTGAACCATTAAGATAAAGGTTCGAAGACATGAAACAACATCATTCTTAAGCTTCAATAAGTACACCCAAGACATCCTAGTATAGTTATCTACAATGGTCAAGAAAAAACGTTAACCAGCATGAGTGGAAATTTGATAAGGCCTCCACAAATCAATGTGAATCAATGTGAAGGGAGTAGTAGTCCTAGAATTACTGACTGAAAATGAAAGACTAGACTGTCTAGCTAAAGGACATATAGAACAATTTTGAACAGATTCATGATGTAAATTCATATTATGAAACATAGGTAATTTTTTTAATTGAGAAGATGAAACATGTCTTAAATGAGCATGCCAAAGATTTGTTTTATTTGCATCAACAGATTTACAAGTATTTAGAAAAGTTTTAGAACTAACAAAAGGTTTACATGTAGAATATTGTAAGGCAGAAACAGAAAAAACAGAATTTAAGGGGGACCTGAGCATGTAAAGACCTCTAAACTCTTTACCAATCACCCTCATCATGCCATTGTAAAGATTCTGCAATATGCAAAGATCAGGATAGAACAAGACAACACATTTTAACTCATGAGCTAGTTTTGAAACAGAAATAAGATTGTGAGTAAAATGAGGCACATGTAGCACATTAGACAATTGAAGACCATTTGAAAACTTAACAAAACCTATGTGTGTGACAACAAAAGATTTGCCATTAGGCAGTTGAACATATCTAGGTGTGGATGTACAGGGCACAGGATTAATCATGCATTTAAGGTCTGACAGAATATGGTCAGTTGCTCCAGAATCCAGAATCCATTCAATTGAATCATGAGAAAGAGAGCAGAAAGTACCTGCCAAATTCATAGAGGAATATGGACTAGAATTCTGAGTTGAAGCCTGATTTAGAAGCCCCAAAAGCTGATGATATTGTTCAGATGTGAAGACTGGTGGAGATGGAGAAACTACCTCACGATCAGAATGAGCTACCATGGAAGCTTGGGAGCCCTTTTTCTTGTTGAACTTGAAGTCAGGTGGAAAACCAATAAGGCGATAGCAATTATACTTCTTATGGCCCTTCACTTTACAGTTATCACATGTTCCAGTGAACCTTCGACGATTGCCAAAAGCACTAGAGTACAATGTTGTAGATTCCATGAGAGGGATAACACCAGACAACTGAAGGCGATGGGATTCTTCCTGACTTATCATGGAGTAGGCATTGTTGACTGAAGGTAAGGGTTGCATCAACAATAATTGGCTTCGAATAGCAGTATACAAATCATTCAATCCCATTAAGAACTGGAACAATATTTGTTGAGAAACATGCCTTGAATTGGACTGAGCATTTTCACAGGTACAATTCGAATGAGGTACCAATGCATCATACTCGTCCCACAGAAGTTTCAACCGCGAGAAATACGGAGAAATGAAAAGCTCACCTTGAACCATCGTCGCAATCTCACGATGAAGGAAAAACACTCGGGAACCATCGACCTTATCGAAGCGTTCCTTGAGATCTGCCCAAACTAACGCTGCGCTGGAGGCAAAGACGATTCTAGCAGACAATTCCTTGCTCACCGAATTAATGATCCATGAAAGTACAAGGGGGTTGAAAATCATCGCGGTAACAAAATCCATCGATGAACCCTAATTTATTCTTGGCGAGAAGGGTGATTCGCATTGATCGACTCCAGATGGTGTAGTTATCTAGCCCAGACAGTTGATGCAAGATCACAATCGTTCCCGGAGTATCCGAAGGATGGAGACACAACGAGTGATTGAAATCAACGAGCTTGGATTCCGTCATCGGAACTGTCGTTGGTGGCATCGTAACAGTTTCGTTGATGGTGCAAACCAAGCTGCTTCAGGAATGTGGAATGAAAGGAAAAGAGAACAAGCCCAAGAAGTAAAACGCCCAGTAGAATCGAATTAGCCTGATACCATGTTGAAATATAATATAAGAAAATGGAAAAATTATTTTTCATATCCAAACTTCACATAAACTTACAATCTGTTCACATATATATACAAACATCCAATCTAACCACTTAACTAACTCAAAACTGTTTCTAACTAATTAGTAACAGAAAACTAATTACAAACTCAACAGAAATTATTTGAAAAAACCTAAATTGTTTGATTAATTTAACAATAATATATATATATATATAATCATTAAATTATTTAAAAAAACTTAAATTCTTAGATAAATTTAACAATAATTCTGTAACACCAAAGAAACTTTTCTTCTAAGCCTGCTCCGCACGTCTGTACGTTCAAATATGAAGAAAAAACGGGAAGGATGTATAGATAAATGTATGCGTTTTCTATAAATGGTTAGCCTTTGAAGAATTAGCTTAAAGCATACTGTAATTTAAATTTAGAGAGATAAGAGCTTATTTGTGCTGTTGCATAAAATTAGTTTTCAAATGAGATTGTTAAAATAAATCCTAAATCTCAATTGATTCAATGTGACTGCTTTATTAAACCGTATCATTCAAATCTGAAATTGATTCAATTTTGCATAAACTCTGATATTTCTTGTGTCTTTAAATTTAATTTAATGATTATATATGTTTAATTTTATTAAATATTTTTAATAAAAATAAATTGAGTTAAAAATATATACATGAGATTGTTTAAAAAATATTAAAATTATTATTTTTAACACTCTTTTTTATTATGCCATTTGATATAATATTTGATCCCAAATGCTATTTTAAATTTAATTTGTTAGAGAGTGATACTTTTGATAAGTTTCTACCCTGAAAATAATTTGTGCACACCTTAAATAATTTTATGCCCTCTAAATACCAATACACACTATTTTTATTTAGGCTCCAAAACTTGAAAGAAAATAGAGGTATTAAGACTTAAAAAGAGAGTAAACTTGAATGAAGGGACAAAGGGTCGAAAGACTAAACCTTTTTCTTTTTTTGAGAGCTTCCGATGAATACCTCCGGCCATGAATCCATATGGTGAGTAACTTTGAGACGGTGAGTGGGCAAAGATACTCCGATACCAATCGGATGACGGATCTTGGAGATTTTGACGATAACACTCATGTTGTACCCTAATTTTGTCAAGGTAATTCAAATCGAATTGAAGGAGGTCAAGAGTAGATTGGAAGGTGCACTGCGTGTTGAGATCGGGCTATAATTCAAGTGGCATTAGGGGCTTGCTTTAGCCTAGTGGAGTTTGTTTGGTTTGGGTGACCATGTGCAGTGTGGAATTTGAAATTCATACGTTTTAACCTTTCCCGAATAAACCAAGACCAAAATCAAATACCCCAAAATTAAATGTCCATTATTTACACATAGCCCATTTACATCATATTTACCAAATGTTACACAACCAAACATTTCCCATACCCATTACGAATCAATCCGTTCCATAATTACAAACCCATTCAACCAGAAACCCAAACGGCAGAACCCAATTACAATTTTTAACCCAAAGCCCAATTAGCCCACATGCTAAACCAATTTGGGAATTTCCAAACCCTAATGCTCCAATCACTCTCAGTCGTCGCCTCCATGCCAGCTCCCCTGGTTTCCCCCAATATTGAAATATGTAAGGGTTTCTTCACCCCTGGATTTTTGGAAGCAATCAACTAAAGCTTCCCCTTTCTAGAGAGCATTAGACTCGAGCACTGTAACAAAAAGAGGGGTTTCTCCTTTCATTTTTTCAGTAAAGCAATACCAATACAAGCATTTTTTTAAGGTTTTTTTTTTATTTCCCAGCAATCATTTTCATAATTTATTTTCTTGATTCGAAATACAAAACAAAGTGAGGGAGGGGTAGTCGTTTACCTTAGCCGTGATAAGCGGTCGCTGGGTTGTTGACAATGTGTCGTTTTTACTGTTAAATAAATTTATCCTTAATCTCATTAAAAATAAATATAATAATATAGAGAGAGTAAGGGTCGATCCTCAGGGATTAAGAAAGATGTTGAAACGATTATTCTTGATCTTTGATCTAGGCCAAAAAAATGCAAGTAAAGTAAAAAAGAGGGTTTGTTGAGAAATTGAATAAGCAAAAACGATTCAAAGGAAGATAAAGAATCAAAGAAAGTAAATTAAAAACCAATACGATGAAATTAGCCTCATACTTTCGTGTGCCTCAAATTCCAATCGATCATTGAATATGGTTTTTCCTCTAGTTAAATGTCGGTTTGAGTCCGCAAGGTTCAATCCTTGTAGCTCATTTTCCTCTTTGGTGATTGACTTTCCTAAATCTATTTTAGGAATCACAATCCTTGTTCAAATTAACTTCGACTATCGTTGTTAACTCAAAATAGTTTAAAAGCGCTTGCAAAAAAACCCGACTCGAATTATGCTTTCTCTATGAAAGTTGAACTCGATCCCAATTTCGCTCAGCGTACCATTTGCTAAGAGTGTTCAAGGGAATTCAAATCAATTGATTCTATAATCCCAATGGTAAACCATAATGTCATCCAAGCCAAAAATCTATTTTTAAAGTGAAATCGTTTTAATTTTAAGAAAGACTATCAGCCAATCTAGTTTTCAGAAAATTGAGAATTTAACCCGAGAGGGTATGAGGTGCTTTTCGATTCTCACGATTCAGAATTGAGTCATCGCTTTAGCCCTCGACTTATGAGAAAATTAGCTAAGCATGACAAAAGTCATACTTAGCATATTTAAAAACAAAACTTAAAATAGAATAAAAATGAATTCTTGAAAAGAAAAGAACTTTATAAAACTAAAAATAAGAAGAATGAAATCTGAGTTGTGTGTTTAGGCTTACCCCAAGAAGGTATTTATAGCCTCTAAATACCTAGAAATTAAAATAAAATAATCCTAAAGATAATTCCAAATGTTTTCTAAATTCAAACTTTAAAATTTAAAAATAAGTCTCCTAAGATATCTCTACCTGTCCACCTCCAGAAGGTGATGATTAGATCTTCAAGAAAACTGCTGCTGACTGGATCTTCTAGAAACTGCCTCGTTAGAAAATGTCATGCCCAGAGTCATGCTCATGTCTCCAACCGTGATCAAATAATAAAAAAATGCAGAATGCGATCGTTTTACTACTAATTCTGGAAAGTAAGACCCTTCACAAAAATAAACATAACACAACCAAATTAGCAGCAATAAATCCATAAGATCAAAGAATTAACGAGCAAATATTATTAATTCAAAACACTCATCAAATTCCCCCTTACTTATCTCATGATTGTCCTCAAGTATGATATAATCAAATCAGTCAAAAATTTCATTTACCTTTCTTTGTCAAGTCTCACATTCAAGGAAACAAGGTAGAGACCACAATAATTATTCAAGTCGAGACACCACCAATTGGAACAAGTTAAATGCAATTGGAACAAGTTAAATGCAATTGTAACATCCATCCATTCATTAATCTCAATGCCCATAACTCAACACCTTACCGGGATTCACTCAAATCACTCAATGTGTTTGGGGTATAGAAACGTTCAACGTCAGAACCGACACGACATTACTATAGGCCTGCAAGTAAATCAAATCTCCACTACTAGTAATAACAAGATGCATAAATCAAAGGGTCTTTTATTAGTTGTAACGAGAGGCTAAATATATGGCTAAAAAAATTCAAGACAAGGAACTACAAATAATAAGTTCATCTCCATCAATGGACTAAGCAAGATAAGAAGACAATAACCATCAAACAACACATTTTCCTTTAAAATTGAATTTGACTGTTCCAAATTTTGTTGTTGTTTTGTTTTTGTTTTTGTCTTCGAACAAATTCTTTTTTTTTCTTTTTCAAATTGTTGTTGTATCTTTTCGAAATAGAGAATATTTTTTTCACATGAATTCCTTTCTAACATATAAAAAATTATCCTATTTATGGAGCATGATCATACACTGATAAATTGTTCACTTGTCCTGAAAATGACATAAAAGAGGGATAAAATAAAAAGGTTCGGGTTTATGAATATGGTGAAAACAAAGAATGGAAATAGGCTTAAGAGTGGTTAACTAGGAGAAAATGCATGGGTAGGCAATTTTAGTGGGGAAAACGGAGTGGTTAATCCTAAGGTGCCCAAATCATTTTTAAGCATCATGTTCGTGTGTAATCTCGACAATATTTAAAATGCAGGTTCTAGAATACCAATGTCAAATTCACAAACTTAATCCAACAAAATGAGAGCAAAATTGTAACACCCATTTCTCGTATATGTTCCCGTACACAAGTCACAGATGTCACATGACTTTTAAAAACATTTTCGCTTTTGAAAACTAGTAAAATTTTATTTCCATACATAAAACATTTTGATGTAATAATGATAAAACGTTCATTAACTTTAGTATGTAAAATAGTCCTAAAGTTCTAACATATTAAATATTACAATCATCATAAGTCATATATTTTGCAGAGCATTATCATAAGTCTATTACATGTCATCTAATAACATCAAAAGTAGACATAATTGTCATACAGTTACTGATGAGGCAACATTTGTTCTATGATGTCAGCTACACTCCTTACTCCGCTCGTGCTAATATCTACGTGTGAAACCAACACACGCTAAGTTTTCACTTAGTGAGGCATAATAATATAAATGAAGTATAACCAATACATAAGTATATCATATACTATCAAATTACGAATTAAAT